CAGCTTTCACTAACAGCATGGCTGATTCTGGCAAAAGCTATAAAAACAATGCCTACTGTGGGATAGTTAGTATTACAGACAATTAAATTTTAATAAATGAAACCAACAGTTAAGAAACTGACATTTCTGCTATTCTCTGATATTAGTCTGAAAACTTAATAATAAGTGCCAAAGTTAATGAAAATGAACTGTTGGTAACACTGCTGAGACTGCCTATGGCTATTAAATGATTTTAGGTGGGATGGGGTGGGGATGGAGAAAAGGTGTTCCCTACGGCATCTCTAGGCAAGATGATGGCCTTGGGCAAGCCACTGCCCTTTCTCAAACTCGGACATTTCTAACTGGTACATTACTTACTTCATCAGTCATTTTTCAGAAAGAAATACATGGGATTTCGTGCTCCATGAAACGAATCAACTTTTCATAATCTCGGCTGAAAAGTAGCACTCCACAGGCTGAATCTGGCTACAGAAGCAATTTATTAGGTCCTCACAGTGTTTTTTTTTTTTTAATCTGAATTGGTTGCCAACATTAAAAACTCAGAAGACTTCACATGAAAATGCAAAGAGCCAGGTACATACTCCCAGAAATTGGACAATCGAGAAAGTCTGGGCTCACATTTCTGCATGGCGGCCAAGGGAGGGCAGAGCAGTGACAGCGCCTTTAGAATGGGCATCAGTCAGCCTGCTTCTTGCCTGGCCCCCGTTCCCACAAGAGCCAGGCTCTGCACCTCCAGTGCTCCTCCTAAAAGCCAGCCTGCAGGTTAACTCCCTGGTGATAAATATTGCCAATGGTAAGGTCAGTTTCGATATCTATTGGAAGGAAGGGGGAAGAAATGCATACCAAATATTTTATAAAGGAAAAATAAATCCTCCACTAGTCCCTTATATCAAATTCCTGAAGTCTCAGAACAGTCTCAAAACATCATATTTCCACGTCTTTTTTTCCTCAAAATACTCCTTTCACTAGGTCAACTATGGATTTTACCACATAGAACAACTCTATGTGTAGCTTGAAAACATGATGTTTTGTTTTTTTTTTGTTTTTTTGCGGTACGCGGGCCTCTCACTGCTGTGGCCTCTCCTGTTGCGGAGCACAGGCTCCGAACGCGCAGGCTTAGCGGCCATGGCTCACGGGCCCAGTTGCTCCATGGCATGTGGGATCCTCCCGGACTGGGGCACGAATCCGCGTCCCCTGCATCAGCAGGCGGACTCTCAACCACTGTGCCACCAGGGAAGCCCCATGATCTGTTTTGAAAAGGTGATTAGCAAGAGGATTCTGAGATTCTCATGGATGAAAGGGCCTTTGCCTTATTTTATGTCAACAACAGAATTCTTAGTAAAGACGGTCCAAGGAAAACAGAATTTACCAACATATTAGTTTGGAGCCACTACCCCACCACGCCCCGGCCCAAACCAACACTTACTAAAATAAATAGCATCTTTGATTTCTGTTTTTCCTTTCATTTGGACAACAGAGATGCTCTGTCAAAAAAGAAAAAAAAAGTGGGGAGGGAGGAGTTAAAAAAAGAAAAAAAGGGCTTCCCTGGTGGCGCAGTGGTTGAGGGTCCGCCTGCCGATGCAGGGGACGCGGGTTCGTGCCCCGGTCTGGGAGGATCCCACATGCCGCGGAGGAGCTGGGCCCGTGAGCCATGGCCGCTGAGCCTGCGCGTCCGGAGCCTGTGCTCCGCAGCGGGAGAGGCCACAGCAGTGAGAGGCCCGCGTACCGCAAAAAACAACAACAACAACAAAAAAAAAGACAGAAAAAAAGAAAAAAATGTCTACATTGGTGGAGATCTGTATTTCATTTTAAGCTGTAGGTTGAACCATGCAAAGTCTGATGCCTCTAAGTAATCTGATGTTTTCTAAGAAGGAAAGGTCACTCTTGATCACCACAACCATCACTCCCCATCACTCCCCCCTTCTATTCATGTTTACAGGCTTAAAAAAAAGATGACCTGCTCCCTACTCAGAACCTCATGTACACACCTGAATATACATTAAGATTGCCCAAGATTCAGGACCAAAGCAGATTTGAGAAAAAACCTTAAATTTCCTCCACTCTTCAATAGGACAAAAAATGAATTAGAAGCACACACCCAATATATGAGTTCCTGAAAAAACAAACAAAACAAACAAACAAACAAAACACAGATTTTCCTATACTGGTACTGGCACATCAGCCAAATAGTCTGTTCTGTTAAGACGAATATTTCTTTAATGCAGAAATAGCTCGTAAGTGATTTGTAAACAGAGATTGGAAGATGGTCAAATGTGAAAGTCACGTTGGGGTGTATGTTATTTGAAATGTGTTTTGAAACCATCACGGGTAAACTTTCTTGAAAGTTAATAGAAAACTTTAGCGATATATGAAGACCTCCAAAAAACTTTGTTTAACCCTATGGAAATACAAGTAGTGGTTTATTTAGTGGCTTCAAAATTGCTAAAGTTTGCCCTATGTTAAATAAACTCTCTGAAAATCTGCGGGTTCAAATAAAGATACTACAAAAACATTGCCCACCTAACCTTAAAAAGACTGACGCAGAAGTCTAAACCCCAATCAGATCTTTACTTTTGATGGAAGTGGTCTCCATTAAAAGCAAATGCCATTAAAATCTTACATCTTAGGGGTTTCCCTGGTGGTGCAGTGGTTGAGAGTCCGCCTGCCGATGCAGGGGACACGGGTTCGTGCCCCGATCCGGGAAGATCCCACATGCCACGGAGCGGCTGGGCCCGTGAGCCATGGCCGCTGAGCCTGCACGTCCGGAGCCTGTGCTCCGCAACGGGAGAGGCCACAACAGTGAGAGGCCCGCGTACCGCAAAAAATAAATAAATAAATAAATAAATAAAACTTACATCTTAGAGAAGAAAGACGGAGGAGCCCCCGGGCTTAAGGCAGCAAAGGACTGACTGGCTGTGATGCTGCCACTGCAGCTTTAACTGAGCTACTGATTTTAGTAGGATAGGTATTATTTTTGTTAGCGCTCTAGCAGCAAAATTACTTAACATGTGAGTGGTTTGCCCCTACCTCTATTTTTCCTTATGCTCCCTATTTTTTACACACAATTTTGCAGAAGGTGAGGTTTTTCAGAAATGCGTATACGGCATTAAAGCTGCAGTTCGTATACTACGATCCTATCGGTCTGTTCGTAAGTCAACACACAATTTTATAAAGCGCAGTGGCCACAGCTGTCTGTAGTCTGGCACGCTCTGTAGTCAGTAACCTAGAAATGTGGTTCTTAAATGAAGGGCTTGTTAGGATTTCACTTTAAATGCTTTCTAACATTATGCTGCTGCTAAAAATGCAATTCTAAAGACTAAGCCAAAACACACCCCAAAATATTTATGCTGTATAACATTAATTACCAAGAAAAGAATCCAAAATACACACACTAAAAGTATAACCATGTGAAAAATGTAAGTAAGTGGGAGGTAACAAGTAAAAACAAAAACTGTGCTTGAGTAGTGGTGACTTTAAGAATAAAATACCTTATTTCCTCCATTAGCCTTTTCAGTGAAGCAAATGCTTTTTTTTGTTTGTTTTGCCCAAATTAATCATCAACTGATGAAAGCGTGTAAAGAAACATTTTATATCCACAAAGTGACAGACTAACAAATGTGGCCAAACACCCCAGCAACACAACTGTTTCTCAGGATAAATGTTTTAATATTAGGAGGCTAGGTGCAAAAGTAGCAATCAAGAGTTGGCTGAACACTTAAGAATATTATGTGACTTAGGTTTTGAACAACCAACAGAAAGACAAGCCTCTCCTTTCAAATGACATGCTAGAAACAAATGTGGGGTCTTCAAGGACTGGGGAATCAGGCTGGGATCCTGATGATAGGGACCTCTGGTTGGAAGCGATCACTCTAAGTCAAGGTGCTTTCCTGGCATGTGGCAGCTGTTGGGTTTCACAGGATGGAGGCACCACCCTTGACCTTGTCTCATCTACTGAGGCATGAAGAAGCACGGTCGAAATTAGGTTCCTGGCAGAACAGCCTTGCTTTCTGGAATAAAAATTCCCACAAACTGCTCAAATATCCAAGTTATCAAATAGCTAAACAACAAGAAAGTTTTCTAGAAAACAAAACACATACATATCACAAAGTCATTTCTTTAAAAGAAAACATAATAGAGGGAAAGAGAAAAGGAAACAATGAGAGTGAAGCCTGATTTAGCAGATACCACTTTATTCGACACAGTGCATGATCTGAAGCATCTGACACTCCACAGCCAACAAGATTTCCTACTTCCCTATTACAAAATACTGGATACCCTGAATACAGTTAATTCAAGGTTCTTGTTTTTTTTCTCCTACATTTAGAATTAAACAGGTTTCTCCATGTAGCAAACATTTCACATTCACCAAAGGCTTTGGGGAGAGGGGGAAATAGGGCTTGTAACTGCCCCCCGAACCAAAGGCACTTAATGTTAAAATATAAAGCACAGTAAAGTCACCTCACAGACATCCCTGCATGTTCAGATTGCTGAACTTGAGCGCACCATCACTGGCCCAAGTGGGATTCATTATAACAATGTAAAAGACACTGATTTCCTTGAAAAAAGAAAGTGCAGTATGAATATAAAGACCCATCACCACCACCCCCCATTCTTTTCTGAAAATAATATATAAGAGAACAATTATTTTACATGATTAGTATTACCCAAGGTTCACACATGGGAAAAGACAGCTAAAAAATAACCTGTCATAAACTCTCACTATGAAATCACAATAGAATCTGATATATTCAGACAATCTGCAAGTTGGGAGACAGCCTCAGAGATCATGTTGTGCATCCCCTCACTGAACAGATGAGGTCACTGAGGCCCAGGAAGGTCAAGTGTGGGACCCTGGGGTCTAACCCCAGGGGCAGAGCCTGGGTAGAACGCAGACCTCCTGAGGCCTAGCTCAGGGTGCCCTCCACCGCCTTCCTCTTTAAAAGACTCTCAAAGGTAAAACGTGAAATACATCACACAATAAAGCACACTTGCTGATGCAGGTCAGCTATTTGGTCTCGCCACACGGTTCCTTTGGCCATTGGGCAGGTATGTAACCCACCTGGGGGTGGGAATTCTTCACACGAGGTTGTTCAGCCTTCTGAGGGAAGCCGCGTGCAGGTTAGACACGACTTCTTCTCCGATTCAGGAAGGCTCTTCGTGGCTCTTAGCCTGTGGTGGGCAGGTGGTCGGCTGCACAGCGGAATCCCAGATTCGAAGCGGAGCTGTCAGGTGTGTTCTGGCTTCGAGCAGCACAGCGATACCTGTAGCAGTAGGACTTTGCGGAGAGAACCAGACACATGAGTGCTCTTGGACTCTGGGCTGAAGGCTCTCAACTGTCAGACTGACGTTGTACCCAAGTACCAACTGTAGAGAGTTATGCCTATCTGCAGACAGTGCCTGCCCTACAGGCACCCGCCTCCTGCACATTCAGCAGCTATGTTTCCGAAAAGGGTAGCACACTGAGAGCTCACCACATTATCCAGTGTTATGTTATAAACGTGACTAGATATAGTACAAAGATGTTGGTGTCAGCATTACTTAGAACAGTTAAAAAAAATGTAACAACCAATGGTTACATGAGTTATGGCGCATCCATAATTTAGACTAGTAAGCAGCCATTAAAAGACATGTTTTCATGTAACATTTAATGACATAGGAATTTCCCAGGATACAATCTTAAATGAAAAAGTAAGAATACAAAACTGTATATGTGCTATGATCTCAATCTAGATAATCACGTACGCCAAAGAAAAGCAGACTGGAAGATTCAAAATGCACCATAATCCGAACAGTAGTTAGCCTCAGGCAGTGGAGTTTCAAATTTCCGATGATAACTATGTACTACTTTTATAATTTAAAAAGTTATTTGCACATTTAGAATAGCATTTGACAAGAAACCAAGTAATAAAGCTAAACGGCAACTGAGAAAATATTAATTAAGAGCAACATTAAGGTATTATGTACTATCCAACAGGTTGGCAAAAATTGAACAGCAAGCCCAGGAACATCAAGAGTAGGAAAGGCTGTGGAAAACATTTTCTCTTAATACATTGCTTTTGGAGTTTAAATCGTAGTAATTCATAAAGCTATGTATCCTTGTGTGGGGGACTTGTTTGGTATTGTTTTATTTTATAAGAGCAGAGTATGGTATATACATATGCACAAACACACAGACATCAAGCTCTCCAGGCATGGTGTTAGGCGCCTGCATCACTTATTTGATTTGATCATAATAGCCAGAGGAATTAAATGAGTTACCCTAGATGACACAGTTGTTAAAAGAAGTAGAATTCGAACCCAGGTCTAACTGTGGTGTGCTTGCCTGCCTAGCAAGAGTTGGTACTCGTAGATGGAAAGGCGTCACAACTCATGATTCTGTCCCACCCCTGTTACAGCCCCCTGCATGTACACACGTACTTCCACAAATAAGAAAGCCTAACACATACCCCTGGTCACCTACTAGATATTCAGGGAATAACCACAGATGACTTGATTCAAACACTTCAAAAGCTTCCACATTCCAAAAATAACCATGCATGGAACTCTTATGTCCTAAGATCTTTGATCAAAAACAACAGAGAATGAAAATAAACTAGTTACCCTGTGTACCAAGAGCATCAACTCTGAGTGGGCCCTGGGAAACTCAAGTCCCCGCCGCTGGTTAAAGAAACTGCACAAAGAATCATGTAGAGTAACTTTGGAACTCATGAAGGAGAGAGAATTTGTGGAGGGGCAAAATAGGTCAGTATGAAAGAGGTTTTTTGTTTTTTCCTTAATTCTTATTATTCTCCTTTCTCTCACGAAAGTTGAATGTTTCTAATCTTCATAAAAATTATCTCTAGAGCTGACAAAGGAATTCTCTGGAGCACTTCCACCATAAAAAAAAAAAAAAAAAAAAAAAAAAAAAATGGGTGGTGCTCTGTCTTTTATAGATAGCAAAACAGTAGCAACCAATTTTCTCATTTTCCCTGTAGCCAGTGAAGAATGTAACACTATTACCAATATTCAGGCAGGCAGAGGGAAAATGAATAAAAAAATATGCCTGAAATAATGAAAGAAGTGATGGCATCTGCTACTACCTGTGACTGGGATGCAATGGAAGCTCTAAAATGACTAGAGGTGACCATGCAGAAAGACACGGCAGAAGCTTTGTTCCATGTAGGGCCTACTCACTGGGTTGCTGTGAAGCAAGGTGCTTTGGTATTTTTAGAATCAAGCTCCTGTGGTTAATGCAGGGCCCCATGCTCTCAGTGTGTGCAGTGAATTCCACATTGGAGCAAGAATCGAGTTTGGGGCAGGGGGGCAGGCTGTCAGACAGGGACATTCTTGTTCCATAACTGGACCACACATGACAAAAAACAATCAAGCATTTCCTGATCGCCTCCTGTGCGCACTGTCCCGCTGGAGATCACAGGCTGGTTGAGGAAACAATGATTACACATCAAAAAGCTACAAAACAAGCTAGGATTAAAAGATTCTGAGGCTACTATTAATTCAGGGGAGGAAATGGTCACTAAATGTCTAATTTTTTAGGAAAGACTTTTGAAGGCAGAACTTGGCCAGAGCGAGATTTACGTGATTATGGCAGTGGTCTTCCGACTTGAGTATACAGAAGAATAGCCTGGAGAGCTCATGTAAATACCTATTCCTAGGCCACAAACCCAGAGATCCTGATTCAGTAAGTCTGGTGTGGGGTCCAAGAATCTGCATTTCTAACCAGCTTACAGGCGCTGCTAATGCTATGGGCCCATGGACCACAAACTGAGTAGCACTGATTTACAGGACTTAGAAACAAGGAAAGAAGGTATGTTAAGTGGAGAAAACAATGACATCAGAGGCATGAAAATGGAAAAATTCAGGCAAGTGAAGAGGATAGCAAGGCCACAGCCTGAGAGTGTCAGAGCATGGTTTATTCATTGAATATTTAAGAGTTTACAACATGCTAGATGCTATTCTGGGCACGAGGGACGCAATGCGGAACAAAACAATGTACCCGTTATCGGGAAGCTTACATTCAACAAGGAGTTAAGTAGTCAGACAATAAATAAACGGATAAATTCAAGAGGGCTTCTCGCAGTGGTCAGCTTGGAAGAAAGTCACATAGGGTGAGAGGACTAGACGTGACTAGGTGCTACTTAGATAAGGTGACCTGGGAAGGCTCCTCTGATGAGGCGCTGCGAGAGCTGAGCTGCCCAAAGATTCAGAGAATGAGAATTCCAGGCAAAAGCAATGAGTGGTACAGAGAGGATAAATGATAAAAAGCAGGAAACGTGGGTGGATAAATAGGATGGAGTCACATTAAAGGTGGTCTACTTGGCAGAAAGAGGTTGGGCTTGACACAGGTGGAAATTGTGACAAACATTTTGCTAAGTTACTCACCTGAAAAGGCAAAATCCAAGACTCATTAGCTATTTAACCTTAGGCAAAGCCTTTCTGAATCTGCTCCCTCTTCCGATAAAATGGGGCT